AATTCTAAAAACACTATAAATCTCATCAGAAATTACTTGCTTAGCTTTGATTTCTGAAGTATTATGTTTCAATATTTGGTCTTTATCTATATATAATTTATAGTTTTCCAAAAGTTCCATTTTTTTGGTGGTAAGTCCAAATATTTGTAGTAAAAAATATTCTTTTCTAGAATATTTTTAATTTAATTTATAAAGTATAAAGTACTATACAAATTCAATATAATTATGTTTGATTATGTGTGCTGAAATCAAGAAGATTTGAGACAATAAACCAACTAGTATACAGTAAATATTCAAATTTAAAGCTTCTTTTCATCTGACTGCATTACATACTGCTTAATTATTCTTATATTTAAATTATTTAGGATGAAGTTTATTCAATCATTACATCAAAGTTCATCAATGAGCAATCTTTATAATCTTGATTTATTAACTTTAAAGGTCAATAATAGAAATATTGTTTTTTTGTACTCTGAAGTAAAGGAATACAAATCCAAATTAAATTTGCCAATTTTTATTTATGTAATTTAATAATTTGATGCATAAATAATTTTATGGCTACTTGTTTAAATTGTCATTGAATGCTTTTAAAAATCCTTTAAACATCAAAATTTTTTTAATACAGAAATTTGTGTTTAAATATAGTTAAAATATTTTATAATTAGATTGTAATAAAAGGAAAGTTATTTAGTGTAAAATTCTAAGTTTGCTTTATTGTTTTTTCCAAAAAACTAATAAGTGTTTTATAATATAACAAGTTGTAGTAGTATAATTGAATTACATTTTTGAAAAACAAAGAAAAAAGAAAATCAAAGGGGATCATGAATTTGAGGCTTATTTATACTTAAATTTTCTAGCCAAATATAAATAAAAATACAACATATAATTATTCCAATTAAAGTGATATCCATCAAAGCTGAGAATTGGTTATAAAAAGCCACTTCCATAGCCACAAAACTAAGCTTTATACAATAATAAAATGATAAGTTTCAGCCCTATCATATGATTTTCAAATTAAAATTGATTGGCTAAATGTTTTTAATAGTGATTTATCATTTATCCACAACTCGTTATATGACAATATCAGATATATGATTTTACAGAATTCTTTGACAGGTTAATTTTTTAATTTTTATTTGATCAATGAAAACCAGTAAAAAATTTAAATTTTATATTCCTGTGAGGGGGTCAAAAATAAGAAAAACCAAATAAATGAAACAAAAAAGGCCAAGGAAAAGGAATGAGACCAAAAAATGAAAATGAAATGAAAAAAGCCCTTATACCACAATTTTTGATAAAAAAAAAAAATAAAAATAATATATATAAATACTGTTTCCAATATCACCCAAAAATTTTCACCTTACATGACTTTTAATTTCAAAGTTAAATATTTTTATAATTAATAAACTTATTTTTTAGCTTTATTTCAAAAAATCTTGCGTATACTTAACTGTTAATTGTAAATAATTTTAATGCATACTTGTAAAGTAGCCAAATATAATCTCAATGACTTTTAAAATTTTGTATATTTAATATGTATTAAGAAAAGTTTCTCTATTTTGTGATTTTTGCTAGATAATTGATATGCATTCCAGATATGCAAAATTTGTTTGTCATACATATAATACTTGTACTTGTGATCAACATTTTGTATACAATGCATTTTGCATAAATATTATTACCATATTTATCTGTACTAATAAGACGTTTAGTATAAATAATAAAAAAAAAGAAAAAAAAAGATATTTACTTTATCTTTCCAATTAGGAAGAATTTGATATAGTAATGGATCAATGTATTGATAAAGGTAATCATACAGAATATAAAATTAGAATTATCCCATAAAAAGTTTAAACAATTTTGCAAATATTAATTATTATTTTTATTATGTTATATATAACTAAATAATTCATTTAATGATTAATAATACTATAGTTTGTAAGTTATTAGTTATTAAATTTTTAGTTTTTCACTTTATTTATTTTATATAATATTCAAATAACTAAATTCTTTATTTAAATAACTAATTAATAATTTTACAGCTGGTAAGTTATATTACTTAAGCCTTAAGGATATTATATTAATATGATGTTTATTTATTAATATTTAATATTTTAATATAATCTAACTAATCATATTTTTAATTTAAATAAATAGATTGTAAGTGATATATTAATTATAGTAAATACTTTTCTATTAAATTTATATCTAACCAATTAATAATTGATAATACTACAGGGTGTAAGTTATATGACGTCTATATATCTATTATTTAAGTTAACTAAATTCTTTATTTAAAAAATTATTTTGTAATTTCTTTTAGTTAGTAAGTTATTTATTTATTTATTTCTATTATTACTTATTGTTATAATATTTACATGCAATTTAAACTAACTAAATTCTTCTTTGAAAAATTATTTAAATAATATAGGGAGTAAGTTATTTATTTAATTCTAATATTGCTTATTGTTATAATATTTTACATATAATATAAACTAACTAGATTCTTTATTTAATAGATGGTAAGTTATAAATAATTTATTAATTCTATTATTACTTGTTGTTATAATATTTACATATAATTTAAATTAACTAAATTTTTTATTTAATAGGTCGTAAGTTATAAGTTATTTATTTAATTCTATTATTACTTATTGTTATAATATTTCCATGTAATTTAAACTAACTAAATTCTTTAT